CTTAGATGCTAAAAAGAAAAGGGAGTATTAGCACCTCCAAGACATCTCATTGTGTTCCTGCAACTGTGGTAAATGCTAGTCTTATGATTAAAGCCTTCAAAACAAGGTAGCAAATGTCTTTATAGTACTATAATCCTTTATAAAATAGCACATGCAGACACAGTATAATTTATTCAATAATTTCTTACATCTTCAAAAACAGCCAGTAACATCACATAAGCTTTGCACAGCTGAGCCCAATGAGCTCAGACGGCCTTTGCCATGATGTCAGCTAGGTCAATATAATGTAAAAATAATTCAGTTTGATTAAAGCCGTTAGTATTTGATTTAAGTCTTGAGATAGACTCTTAAGGGGAAGGTTTTATTATCAGCTCTTGCTATGACTTACATGCTCCGTACATAAAAATTCAAATTGGCTGGAATATTTTCATAGTGATTTTAACAGTCTTGCAATGTCTATGTTAAATTTGGCATTTCATTACAGATACAGACTTCTGGAAAATCAAATACATACTCACAACAGTAGCAAATTATTTACTCTATAAACATGTTACTGCATATTCATACTACCCTATGCTTCCTTTTAAATAATATTAATAAGCAATCCCTTGTGTTTAGCCCTATCTAATCTAATCTCAAGATTAAGTGCATTTACTAAATGGATATTCTTGCCATAATTTTTATAATCTATCCTGCACAAAATACACCCTTACATCATAAACCAGCAGCAAACAGTTACAGTAACCTCTGGAGTTATTATTTCTGCTATCTATGCAACAGCTCCAAAACACTGTTGTTCTCTTTATCAACAGAGTTTTATGTGATAACCAGCTTCTTAATTTGCTTAATAGTCTTCCCCCAGACATCGCATATAAAAGCTAAATTCTCCACTTCTTTTCTCTGTTATTGTGATATCATTAGATTAGAGCAAACAGAGATCTGAAACAGTTAAGTCATGCAGTTAGATTTTAATTACAGGAGTTGGGTCTGTGCCTCATTTATTGGTTTAGGCAGTTCATTAGCTTCAATTTCCCATTATTAGCATAAGCATTTTAACATCATATTTTAAATCCCTGAGTTCACTTTGTGGTGTTTCTTTAAAAAAAGAAATAATGGTGGTTGAAATTTTCAGCAAAGAATCTTTCTTTGATTCTGGGTAATGCTGTCCAATTAATTTATGCATCTAAAATCAAACATATAAATTAGACAAATACATTTGCATTTCTCCTAAAAAAGAGTGTGTTTTAGGTATAGGATAGATATATATATAAAGTGTACTGTCTCTCTTCCAATGGTCCTTGCCCACCTGCTGGAATTCAACTGAACATTCCAAGATGGTTCCTAGCAATCAAAATGCATTTACAGAGTCCTCAGATGTTACCTCGCTGTCTCATGTCCAACCACAAGCCTCACTTCCCCTATAACTCTGTATATAAAATAACACTAACTGAACATATTACCTAACATTCTCCACAGGCACCAATCCTGCAAACATTTCTAGTGTGAGTAGGTGTTTGCAAAATTGGGGCCTTAAACTGTAAGCTACTCTGTGTAGACTCTCTCTTTATTTGTATGTACAACACCAAGCACAATGGGGACCTAACCTCTACCGGAGTCTTACAGATTCTGTAGTATAAACAGTAATGTGAGCAATGCTATATTAAAAGGGGTAGTTGGTTACAAAATCAGTATCTTTCTATATGAGGAAAGGAATAGGTATTATTTGTTTGACCTTGCTCAAACCTTTGTTGAAACCCTTTAGCTGTGTATGTGATCGGTAGCCAAGGATAAAAGATATCAGGTAAATTGAAGATATAGGGATGAAATATAAGTTAATTTATGCATAAGCCTCAGGCTTGTAAAATACTTAGCTTAGCCAAATTAGACCTTAGTATGAGTTAGCTATATTAAAAAGTTAAATTAGCATAAGTAAGTTAATAATAAACTTGCTAAGCTTGTGCCTGTTTGTGATATACTGATATTTTGAAAATAACTCTGTTTGGATAATTGTGTCTACAAAAGATGACTGTTCGTAGCTAGGGTGAAATGTTAGAGACTTCCTTAAGGTAAACTTCCTGTTACTATGATGATAAGATGACGTAAATGTTAATAAGGGGAAACTCACAAGTTGACCTACAGAAAATGGGGAACCCCAAAGTAGTGGGGTGTGGAGGTTCAAGTAAGGAAAAGCGGTTAAAACCTCCTTAAATATATATCAGGGGTCGGCAACGTTTGGCACGCGGCTCGCCAGGGTAACCATCCTGGCGGGCCGGGCCAGTTTATTTACCTGCTGACGCGGCAGGTTCGGCCGATCGCGGCCCCCACTGGCCACGGTTCACCGTCCCAGGCCAATGGGGGTGGTGGGTAGGGTGACCAGATCACCCAAGTCAAATATTGGGACGCGGGGGGTGTGTGGCGGGGGGCGGGGCCAAAAAAAAACAAAAAACACCTTCCTCCGCAAGCGCTG